TTGACGAGCCGAGAGGGTACAAGGCAGCAGTTACTGACTGGAGCTAGATGTCATATTAATTCATAGGCCAGCGTTCGGAAATGATGCAATACGTTGATGTCCGGGCATGATTGCGTGCACATCAAGACGCAGATGCGACGGGAGCCCGCTCAAGACAGACGGGCAGATCCTTGGGCATAGAACTCATGGACGGGCACAGGTCAAATGAAAAAATGCCCTCTTGCGTAAATGAGAGATGGGCGGTGGAAATGTTCCGAGCACGATGGCTTGGAAGATACGGCGGACAGGCAGTATCTGAGTCGGCGTTGACGTTGCCGTTGAACGTTGACGGTGGCGGCGGACGGGCAGGCGGAAGGGCGCGATTGCGAAACGCAGGGTGCTCGACTCGATAGCATTAGAGTTGAGGATGCTGTGTGAGGCATGTAGCTAGCTGATAGTCAGTGATGGACAGAATTGCGAGGGCACACGCAACCATTCCTTACCGTCCTCTACAGTCCTTTACTGTCCTTCACCCTCCTCTACAGTCGTACAATCAGTCCCTCACTGTCCTCTACAGTCGTACAATCACTCCCTCTACAGTCGTACAATGGCAGGATCCCAACGAATCTGTGCGGTAGCTTTGTCTTACGTACATGCGCCGCCCGGATCTCGCACCACTCAGCCATTCGCAGAAGCACGCGAGGTACGCGAGGCAGAATGTTAGGGATGGAACAATCCTGTGCGGTTGATCTGCACATCGCACGTCAGCGCGCACACACCCGGCGAAGCTGGTCACACGCGCCATCGGGGGAGACCAGCAGTAGTGCATTTTGATGTGCGCACTCACCCGACTGCCCCGACCCGTCGCTCCGTGCGGCCGACGGGCACTACCACACAGGCGACCTGTTCGTGGAAGTCGCGCCGGGTGCGTACGTGAGCCGCGGGCGGAACGACGACTGGATCAAGAGCTCGACAGCGCTGCGGTGTGACACGAAGGCGATCGAGGACAACGTGCGCGCGACGTGCGGGGACCTGGTTGCGGAGTGCATCGTGGTGGGCAACGGGCGGCCGTCGCCGGTGGTGTTCGTCGAGGCGCTGGTCGCGATGGACGCGGAGAAGCTGCGGAGGGAGATCGTAAGGCGGACGCGACAGTTCCACGCGCGGCGGTATGTGCACGAGCGGATCACGTCTGCGAGGATGGTGGTGGTGGTGGGGCGCGGGACGCTGCCGCGGACAGCGACGAAGGGGAACATCCGGCGTCGGGTGGTGGAGGATATGTTCAAGGTGCAGCTGGACGCGATATTTGCATCATGATGCGTTCGTGCATTCTAATTTTCTCATGGACCATCGCACGGACGACTCAGACATGGATTCTCTCTGGGCATGGACACTTATTCTTATGGCGTGTAGTATCGCACCACTCTACTATAATGTAATTACGAAGTATAATGATAATGATATGGAGCACTAATGGAATACTGATCGCATTGATGCAATGGGACAACCTTGATGGATGTGGTCGATCGGCTGCAATTTCGCGGAGAGTTGCTATTGATTTCGAGATCAGCCTTGATCGAATCTTGAGATGCAGGCTTGATCTCGCGCGTTCATCGACGAGCCTCCCTTGGGTACTTCCCATCACACTGCAACAAATAGTATCATTCATTCAAATATAAATAATCAACTGCCAGCTCGAATGGGCCGCACACCGCTGACATTATTCATTCGCGTGTCGAAAACGACCTACTCCGTAAGCCTGCCACCCAATGCCTCTATGATATCATTACGCACCCGCAGTGAGTGCTCGAAGTACGCGTGGATTGCCGCTAGGTCTATGGGATGTGCTCAAATGCACCTTGGAGCTCATCTATCCATCCACCATCCACCATCCATGCTGTGGGGACGCAGAGACTTTCAGATGTCGTGTATAGTCACTCGTGCAGTACCCCATACCAAATGTCGATCACAACAACACGTCCGCACACGCAGATCACCGAGTGAGGAGAGATAGATAGATAGATAGGAGGAAATTGTATATACATCGCATGCCAGATGTCACCAAGACGCTAAGAGCTTTGACTGTAAGATCCCATCCCAGGCCTCAGCATGCAGGGGTAACACATTGCAAGGGGCAATAGGGTAACGTGCACTGTATGTAACTGTCGTTGCTGTAGTAGTAGTATGATAATAAAGAAAACAAAGGGATGCACCCGCGTGCCCCCAGTCGTTTTCGGGCCTGCAGTATCCTAAACCGATGCCAGAACCTCACCTCGTACAATTACCCAGGATATCCACGAACCAGTATCTCTATCGCGAATTCCCCGAGCCCGGCATGTTGATGCCCAGGCCAACCTTGCTGACGTCGCTCCCCGAGCGCACCGGGTCGGAGTCCGCGCGCTGCATCTTAGGGTGTGACGACGTGCCTTGCTGCTGCTGCTGCTGTTGCGCATCGTCCGAGAACGGGCGCGGTTTTGCCGATCCGCTGCTGTCAGGCACACCATGTTCACCGTCCGCGACAGCAAGCGCCTCCATGCCCTCCACCGCATCGCACACTCCGCCCACCCTCTTCGCGTGCGCCTTGTCGTCCGTATGCCACGACGTCCCCTCCGAGCTCGGCGGCCGCGGACTCGCATCCGTCCCCGTCCCCGTGTCCGTCGT